ATTCCTGTACAAATGTGTCAAAAGCAAGCTAACTTTTTTACCAAATAACTTTCATAAAAAATAATAACAGATTTGAAAAGATCGTAAAAAAATATGTCGAAATGGACATTAAATTTTCTTAAATTCGTTCTGGTTTATTAAAAAAATGTATAATTAAGTTGAAAAAGTCATACGCCATAAACGTATACAGGGCTTTTCACGGTAACCGTCCATTAGAAGTATCTCAATAATAAAAAGACTTAAAAATCTGAAATTTTGTTTATAGTATTTTTTGGATAATATGAATTGATCTAAAATATTTTCATATTGATTACACTTCCGGTTATACCGGAAGTTGACACCAACTTCGTTATTTTATATGAAAACTGACATTTTTAACTTCATTTTTGAATTCTATGGTTTTTTTTAACTAGACTTTGATAATAAAACCATATGCCAAAAATGCACCATTTTTAAGATATTACAATTTTTTCGATATTTTTTGGAAAAACAGTCGAATGTATTTTCTGTGATATCTCTGTTAATAATACAGCTAGAAGTTGAAATTGAGTATCGATGATGTCCAGACACACCTCTAAATGAAACTAAACTGTATTTTCAGAATCCATGTACAGAGCGTTTAAAATTGTCTGACAAACTTGGCCAAATTAAAGTGGTCATAACTTTGTTATTTCAAATGGATCACCCTGTATTTTTTAACAGTGATCAATGCAGTTTTTTAAGCTCTTTCGATCCATATAGGTATTTCCTATAGCCAAATCCAGTAGTTTCTGAAATAATCGAAGTTTTATTAAATAAGGTTTGAATTTTGAATCTAGTTGGCCATTTGATTATTATTCAAAAAAATTGTTATGCAAGATATTGCAAATAATATGTTTCCGAGTAGGAAAATGCAAGATGTATCAAAATCAAAATAAAAAAATGGGGTTACTATTTAAATAAATCGTCAATGACGTCACTGCCCAAGAATGGTAAATGAAGGAAACTTAAATTGTTTTTGAAAAATTGCCCTTTTAGTAAACAAAATTGACCTGTCCGAGCGTTTTTTCGAAAAACTAACCAATTTCATTATAATGAATTTATTCCTTTCATTTGTTACATACTGTATATTAATCTCTTGGTCCAAATCATTCTTTTTTGTTTTCCCTGTATATTCAAGGCCATTTTTTAAACATTTTATACCTGATTGTTGATATACAAGTCATGCAGAAAATTTTATCAAGAATAGTTTTTTTTTGTGAAATGTAAGATAAACTTTTCAAAAAAAAAAATGTATTTATGTAAAGTTTAAATACATTTTTATGAGAAAATGTTGAGAACATTCGCTTAAATATATTTTCCCTATGAAAACAAAAATTCAGTAAATTGTTGCTGTAAAAATTTTGTAAATTTTTTTTCCACAATTTTCAACTTAATCCAGGTTATCCAGTTGAAATACTATTTTAACACTAAGATATTTAAATGTATTTAAATACATTGAATATACATGAAGAAATTATTTGTATTTGTAATTAAATACATTATCAAGTCAAGTATTAAAATACAAGTCAAATACAATTTTTTTAAAGTATTTTTATTTGTATTTATAAATGGAGCGTTTTAAATGATTATAAAAACAGTTCTGAATATTTCTGGATCGTTTTAAACGGTTCTAGACAGTTCTAAATCGTTCTGGATAGTTCTAAATGATTCTGGAGCGTTCTAAATGATTATATAGCCATTTTTGAATATTTTTGAACCGTTTTAAACGGTTCTAGATAGCTCTAAATGGTTCTGGAGAGTTCCAAATGGTTCTGGAGCGTTCTAAATGATTATATAGACATATCTGAATATTTCTGGATCGTTTTAAACGGTTCTAGATAGTTCTAAATGGTTCTGGAGAGTTCTAAATTATTATGGAGCATTCTAAATGATTATATTATAGAAATTTTTGAATATTTTTGGACCGTTTTAAACGGTTCTAGATAGTTCTAAATGGTTCTGGAGAGTTCTAAATTATTATGGAGCATTCTAAATGATTATATTATAGAAATTTTTGAATATTTTTGGACCGTTTTAAACGGTTCTAGATAGTTCTAAATGGTTCTAGACAGTTCTAAATCGTTCTGGATAGTTCTAAATGATTCTGGAGCGTTCTAAATGATTATATAGAAATTTTTGAATATTTTTGAACCGTTTTAAACGGTTCTAGATAGCTCTAAATGGTTCTGGAGAGTTCCAAATGGTTCTGGAGCGTTCTAAATGATTATATAGACAGATCTGAATATTTCTGGATCGTTTTAAACGGTTCTAGATAGTTCTAAATGGTTCTGGAGAGTTCTAAATTATTATGGAGCATTCTAAATGATTATATAGAAATTTTTGAATATTTTTGGACCGTTTTAAACGGTTCTAGATAGTTCTAAATGGTTCTGGAGCGTTCTAAATGGTTCTGGAGCGTTCTAAATGATTATATAGACAGTTTGGAACATTTCTGGGGCGTTTTAAACGGTTCTAGATAGTTCTAAATGGTTCTGGAGAGTTCTAAATTATTATGGAGCGTTCTAAATGATTATATAGAAATTTTTGAATATTTTTGGACCGTTTTAAACGGTTCTAGATAGTTCTAAATGGTTCTGGAGAGTTTTAAATGATAACGTAGACAAATACATTATTCAAAGTATTTTAATTTATACCTGTATATTTCGTTGATTCGGATATGGAAGAGGAGATTTGGCAACGCCGCGAAAATATTCGAGTGATAAAAATAAGTGTATTTACACTTATTTACACTTAAATACTTGTGTAAATTCGTACGGTGATTATGTAATATAATAAAAAGGTATTTGTTATCTTTTTCGTTTTTCACATTATCGAAGTAGGCTTGTAAAACTCTGAAACAAAAAATGGATACCAGAAGCCTACTATTTTTAGAAAATGAATCTATACAGGGTGTCCCACGACGAGTCATAAAACTATCTCTATACAGGGTGTCTACTATAAAAACCGCCAAACATCAGGAGGTGATTAAAATTAATGTTACTATACGAATAAATGTGATATTTCTGGTCTTTTTGGAAAAAAAAACAAAAAAAAAAATTTTAAACAATAAAATGTTAAATAAAAGAGAAACTATCGAATTTTCGAAAAAGTGTTATAGTACATTTTTTGTTCAAAATTACTTGTATAATCACCTCCTGAAGTTTGGCGGTTTTTATAGTAGACACCCTGTATAGGAAACTACTTATCCGATTTAATTAAAAATTGGTACCAAATTAAAATTTAGTATGTATATGTTATGCAATAAGAGGAAATTATTGAAAATATTTTGACAGTTGTAGCAATTCCGGATATACCGGAAGTAGGCGTCAACTTTGTTATATCAAATGCAGCACCCTGTATATTGATGTATTTTCGAAATCTACGTAAAATTTTTGGATATTTTTGTCTAAAATCCTTTTTTCAAAATTGCATACTTTTTGAGTTAATAATTTTTGTTTGAAAAATTTTACCGATGGACACCTTTAGAAATAATTTTTTTACGGGGATCTCCTTAAAGATATGGAAACGATTTCTGTAGGATGATCACTAGAAAGGTCAAAGGTATTTGAAACTGTGTTGAAAAACTTTTTATTTTATACAGGGTGTGCACGAAAATTGTATAAAGTTGAACTTCAAAAATATCGATTTTTTTATTTTTTTTAAATGTTTTTTCTATTTTACTGAAATTAGCTGTCAAAAATTAGAGAAGTTCATTTTTACTTTCTTATACCTAAACCTAAATAGGTTTGAAGATATTAAAAATTTTGCATAAAACTTATATTTTTGCCAATTTACATGGCCAACTTATAAAACCTATTTAATTGAGAATAATTCAGAAATGTAATAGTGTTATGAAAAATTTATTTCTTCAAAACTATTAGGTTTAGGTATAGGGAAGCAAACACGAATATAATGAAACATGGAGGAAGTGAAAAAACATGGAAAAAAATTAAAAACAGAAAAAAGTGAAAAAAAAAAATGGAAAAAAGGAAGAACATGAAAAAAGTGCAAAAACATGGAAAAATGGAAATAATAGATACAAAAAAAAAGGAAAAACATGAAAAAAGTGGAAAAACCATGGAAAAAGTGAGAAAGTATGAAAAAAATTGAAAAAAGTGAAAAAAATATGGAAAGTGATAAAAAATTGAAAAAGTGAAAAAAATCGAAAAGTGAAAATGGTGAAGAAAAATGAAAAAAGTGAAAATGGTGAAGAAAAATGAAAAAAGTGAAAAACATGGAAAAAGTGAAACAGCATGAAAAAAGTAAGAAAGACCGTAAAAGTGAAAAAAACATGGAAAAAAGTGAAAAAAAAAACCGAAGTAAAAAAACTTGGAAAAGTTAAAAAAAACATGGAAAATTGAAAAAAACAGGGAAGAAAGTGAAAAAAAAACATGGAAAAAGTGAAAAAACATGTAAAAAAGTGAAAAAAAAAACAGAAAAGTGAAAAAAAAGATGGAAAAAGTGAAAACATGGAAAAGTGAAAACACGTGGAAAAAGTGAAAAAAAAAATGGAAAAATTGAAAAAAATATGAAGTTAAAAAACAGAAAGTGAAAAAAAAATGGAAAAAATGAGAAACATGGAAAAATAAAAAAAACTAAACATTTTATACGAAATATTTATTCAATTATAATTAAACATAAACTCATTTCGTAAAAACAATAGCAGAGCATTTCATTTCTAAACATTCGCTCTCACTTTTACACACTCCTCCCGTTCACTTAAATCCTTTCGACCGTCGCACTACGAGATAACTCGTAGTCACCTCCTCCTTATCCGGAACGCCGCACTACGAGTTATCTCGTATTAACATCACATCTACGCAAAAAATGAAATATTCTCGAGACAAAAAAAAACCCTAAAAAATTGCTATACATAATTACAAACGCGCAATTTTCCCTTTTTTTTGAGAGACAACAGAGAAACAACAGAGACAACAATTCGATCCCTCTCTACAAGGGGGGTGGGGGGGCGGTAAAAATACAACAACAAAATAATAACAAAACGTATTTTTTGAACCGCCCCCGTACGGAATATTACGTCACATATTTTAATTATATTTACACACAACTAGAACTGTTCTTTTTTTTATATTTGGTAATTCGCGCGAAAAACTAATTCTTTTCTTCCTTCTTCTTTTGTTGTTCTTCCGTCGTTGTTTGTTGTTGTTGTTGATCTTGTTGTTGTTGGTCTGACGATTGTTGGTTGCTGTTGCTCTCTCGTTCGGCAGCCATCTGTAATTATTAATACAATTTATTGGTTTTTTTTTATTTATATACGAGGGTAAGTTGAAGAGTCCTGAATTAGTTCTAGACGAGTTCGAAATTATTCAGGTGTGTTCTAAATGGTTCTAGAAGGGTTCTAAATGACTGTGGTGTGTTCTAAATGGTTCTAGAAGGGTTCCAAATGAATCTGGAACGTTCTAAATTGTTCTAAATGAGTTCTAAATGATTCTGGAGTGGTATAGACAGTTCTAGAAGATTCTAAAGTATTTTAAATGGTTCTGAAGCGATCTAAATGATTCTGAAGGGTTCTAAATGATTTTGAAGGGTTCTAAATGACTATGTAGTATTCAAAATGGTTCTGAAACATTCTAAAATGTTGTAGATGAGTTCAAAACGAATCTGGAACGTTCTAAATTGTTCTAGATGAGTTCTAAAAGATTCTGAAGTATTTTAAATGGTTCTGAAGGGTTCTAAATGACTATGTAGTATTCAAAATGGTTCTGAAACGTTCTAAAATGTTCTAGATGAGTTCTAAATGAATCTGGACATTCTAAATTGTTCTAGACGAGTTCTAAATGATTCTGGAGTGTTATAGACAGTTCTAAAAGATTCTGAAGTATTTTAAATGGTTCTGAAGCGATCTAAATGATACTGAAGGGTTCTAAATGATTTTGAAGGGTTCTAAATGACTATGTAGTATTCAAAATGGTTCTGAAACGTTCTAAAATGTTCTAGATGAGTTCAAAATGAATCTGGAACGTTCTAAATTGTTCTAGATGAGTTCTAAATGATTCTGGAGTGTTATAGACAGTTCTAAAAGATTCTGAAGTATTTTAAATGGTTCTGAAGCGATCTAAATGATTCTGAAGGGTTCTAAATGATTTTGAAGGGTTCTAAATGACTATGTAGTATTCAAAATGGTTCTGAAACGTTCTAAAATGTTCTAGATGAGTTCTAAATGAATCTGGACATTCTAAATTGTTCTAGATGAGTTCTAAATGATTCTGGAGTGTTATAGACAATTCTAAAAGATTCTGAAGTATTTTAAATGGTTTTGAAGCGTTGTAAATGGCTACGGAGTGTTCAAAATGATTCTGAAACATTCTAAGTGGTTCTAGATGAGTTCTAAATTATTCCGGAGCGTTCTAGATTGTTCTAAACGGTTCGGGACGGCACCTTTTCACCGTACCCCAGTACAAAAAAAATGTTCCTATTCTTCTCCTCCTTTATGTGTGTTGGTTTATTGTGTAGGTTTATGAGTTTAACGATGCTAGAAGCATTTAAAACAGGTTTGGAACTATTTGGAACGATCCAGGATAAACTATAATTGTTCAGGATCATTTAGAATCATTTTATAACCGACTAGAAGCATCAATAACCAGTTCAAAACGATGCTAGAATCGTTAATAACTGTTCAAAAACATTTAGAACAGGTTCAAGAACATTTGGAACGATCCAGGATCGTTTAGAACCATTTTAGAACCGACCAGGATAGTAGAAAAAGAAGAATGTATTTTCCTTTTAGTAACGCCTTTAGTAATTCGTAAAAACGGGTTGCAAATAAGGAATATTTTTTTTTTATTTAGCACTCTTTTACTATCACGCGTACCATTAAATAGATTCGTGTGGGAACAAACGAGTGCTAGAATCATTTAGAACTGTTCAGGATCATTTAGAACCATTTTAGAAATAGCTAAAACGCTCCATAATGAGTTAGAACCGTCCAGAATTATTTAGAACTGCCTTTAGAATGATTTAGAACCGTCCGGAATCATTTAGAACCGACTAGAAGTTTCAAAAAAACAGTCCAAAACGATACAAAAAACCCTATCCTACCCTACTCCAACTCTACACCTTATTTACTACACTTCCTACTCTACTACTTTTCCTATTCTATTTCTACTCTAACTGCTACTTCTTTTCTGGACCCAGTCTATTCTACTTCGACTCTACTCTACTATTCCTACCTTATCCTACCCTACCCTATCCTACTATATTCCAATTCTACTTGAAATCCTAAAAACTCCATTAGAGAATTAAAGAATCAATACCTTCTTGTAAGCCATTTCGAACAGTTTCATGACTATTTAGAACTGACCAGAATCATTTAGAACTGACTAGAATACTCCAAAATGATTTAAAACTGACCAGAAACATTTAGAACTGACTAGAACAATCTAGAATCATTCATAACTCTTCAAAATCATAAAAAAAAACAGTTCGAAAGGTTTCTACATTATTTGGAACCATCCAGGACAAACTATAACTGTTCAGGATCATTTAGAACCGACTAGAAGTTTCAAAAAAACAGTCCAAAACGATACAAAAAACCCTATCCTACCCAACTCTAATTCTACACCTTATTTACTACACTTCCTACTCTACTACTTTTCCTATTCTATCCCTACTCTAATGCTATTCCATCTCTACTTCTAACCCTATCCTACTCATACTCTAGCTTCTTTTTCTACTCTACTCCAACTCCACTCGAAATCCCATTACCCGATAAATTTAAACAACATTCAAATCGCCTTTTTTACCTTCTTGTAAGCCATCTCGAATATTTTTAAGACTATTTAGAATTGACTAGAAACATTTAGAACAGACTAGAATCATTTAGAACAGACTAAAACCATCCGAAACGATTCAAAACTGTTCAGGATCATTTAGAACCATTTTAAAACCGACCAACAGCATCAAAAAACAGTCCAAAACGATACTAAAACCCTATCCTACCCTACCCCTACTCCAACTCTACACTTCCTACTCTACTCTACTCCTTTTCCTATTCTATTTCTACTCTAATGCTACTCCTTCTCTACACCCAGTCTATTCTACTCTACTTCTATTCCTACTCTACTGCTACTTACTACACTTACTACCCTACCTAACTCTTTTTCCTACACCAACTCAACTCCTACTCTACTGCTACCTTATCCCCACTCTATCCTACCCTATCCTACTATACTCCAACTCTACTCGAAATCCTAAAAACTCCATCAAAGAATCAAATCGCCTTTTTTTTACCTTCTTGTAAGCCATCTCGAACAGTTTCATGACTATTTAGAACTGACCAGAATCATTTAGAACTGACTAGAACAATCTAGAATCATTCATAACTCTCCAAAATCATAAAAAAACAGTTCGAAACGATACAAAAACCCTATCCTACCCTACTCCAACTCTACACCTTATTTACTACACTTCCTATTCTACTACTACTCCTTTTCTATTCCTACTCTAATGCTATTCCATCTCTACTCCGACTCTACTCTACATCTAATCCCACCCTACTCATATTCTGGCTTCTTTCTCTACTCTACTCCAACTCCACTCGAAATCCTACCACCCGATTAAATTCAAACAACAATCAAATCGCCTTTTTTACCTTCTTGTAAGCCATCTCGAACAGTTTTAAGACTATTTAGAACAGACTAGAATCATTTAGAACAGACTAAAACCATCCAAAACGATTCAGAATTGTTCAGGACCGACCAACAGCATCAAAAAAACAATCCAAAACGATACTAAAACCCTATCCTACCCTACCCAACTCCAACTCTACACCTTATTTACTACACTTCCTACTCTACTCCTTTTCCTATTCTATGTCTACTCTAATGCTACTCCTTCTCTACATCCAGTCTATTCTACTCCGACTCTACTCTACTGCTACTTACTACACTTACTACCCTACCTAACTCTTTTCCTACACCAACTCAACCCCTACTCTACTGCTACCTTATACCCACCCTATCCTATCCTACTATACTCAAAATCCTAAAAACTCCATCAAAGAATCAAATCGCCTTTTTTTACATTATTGTAAGCCATTTCGAACAGTTTCATGACTATTTAGAACTGACTAGAACAATCTAGAATCATTCATAACTCTTCAAAATCATAAAAAAAACCGTTCGAAACGTTTTAAGATCATTTGGAACGATCCAGGACAAATTATAACTGTCCAGGATCATTTAAAACCGACCAGAACTTAAAAAAAAACAGTCCAAAACGATACTAAAACCCTATCCTACCCAACTCCAACTCTACACCTTATTTACTACACTTCCTACTCTACTACTTTTCCTATTCTACTACTACTGCTCTAATGCTATTCCATCTCTAATCCGACTCTACTCTACATCTAATCCCACTCTACTCATATTCTGGCTTCTTTCTCTACTCTACTCCAACTCCACTCGAAATCCTACCACCCGATTAAATTCAAACAACAATCAAATCGCCTTTTTCTTTTACCTTCTTGTAAGCAATCTTGAACAGTTTTAAGACTATTTAGAACTGACTAGAATCATTTAGAACAGACTAAAACCATCCAAAACGATTCAGAATTGTTCAGGACCGACCAACAGCATCAAAAAAACAATCCAAAACGATACTAAAACCCCATCCTACCCTACTCCAACTCTACACCTTATTTACTACACTTCCTACTCTACTACTTTTCCTATTCTACTACTACTACTCTAATGCTATTCCATCTCTACTCCGACTCTTCTCTACTTCTAACCCTATCCTACTCATACTCTAGCTTCTTTTTCTACTCTACTCCAACTCCACTCGAAATCCCATTACCCGATAAATTCAAACAACATTCAAATCGCCTTTTTTACCTTCTTGTAAGCCATCTCGAATATTTTTTAAGAATATTTAGAATTGACTAGAAACATTTAGAACAGACTAGAATCATTTAGAACAGACTAAAACGATCCAAAACGATTCAAAACTGTTCAGGATCATTTAGAACCATTTTAAAACCGACCAACAGCATCAAAAAACAGTCCAAAACGATACTAAAACCCTATCCTACCCTACCCCTACTCCAACTCTACACTTCCTACTCTACTCTACTCTACTCTACTCTACTCTACTCCTTTTCCTATTCTATTTCTACTCTAATGCTACTCCTTCTCTACACCCAGTCTATTCTACTCTACTTCTATTCCTACTCTACTGCTACTTACTACACTTACTACCCTACCTAACTCTTTTTCCTACACCAACTCAACTCCTACTCTACTCTACTCCTACTGCTACCTTATCCTACCCTATTCAACTCTACTCGAAATCCTAAAAAACTCCATCAAACAACCAAACAATCAAATCGCCTTTTTTCTTCTATTTACCTTCTTGTAAGCCATCTCGAACAACTTCAACGACGACTGTTGCAACGTCCCCGTCGCCTTCCGAATCTCCTCCGGTTCCACGTCGTCCTTCTTCGCCAACAACTCCCTCACCTTCTCCAATTCCTCCTTCAACTTCTTACACTCCTCGTCGGGCAATTGCGCCTTGTACTCGTCCATCTTCGTCTCCGTATCGTGCACGATCCCTTCGGCCTGATTCACCGCCTCCACTCTCTCCTTCTTGATCTTATCTTCTTTAGAGTATTGCTCGGCCTTCTTCACCATATTCTCGATTTCGTCTTTGCTCAAACCGCCCGACGATTGGATGATAATTTGTTGTTCTTTCCCCGTACCTTTATCTCTGGCTGAGACGTGGACGATGCCGTTGGCGTCTATATCGAAGGTCACTTCGATTTGTGGTACTCCTCTAGGTGCTGGGGGGATTCCTACTAAAGAGAATTGGCCTAAAAGTTTGTTGTCTGTAGCCATCTCGCGCTCCCCTTGGTGCACTTTGATCTCCACCTGCGTTTGTCCATCTGCTGCAGTAGAAAACACTTGGCTCTTCTTCGTGGGTATCGTGGTGTTTCTATTAATCAACCTAGTGAATACGCCTCCTAGTGTCTCTATACCGAGCGATAGAGGGGTGACGTCGAGTAGTAGTACGTCGGTGACGTCACCGGCTAGTACTCCGCCTTGTACTGCAGCTCCTACAGCTACGGCTTCGTCGGGGTTAACCGATCTGCTTGGTGCTTTGGAGAAGATTTCTTGTACTGTGGTTTGTACTTTGGGCATGCGCGTCATGCCGCCCACGAGGATGACTTCCCCCACGTCGGATTTCGACACTTCGGCGTCTTTGAGGGCTTTTTGACAGGGTTGGATCGTGCGTTTGATCAAATCGCCCACTAACCCTTCGAATTTCGCTCGGGATAGCTTCAAATTCATGTGTTTGGGCCCGGAGGCGTCCATGGTGAGATAGGGGAGGTTGATGTCGGTTTGTACCGCCGAGGATAATTCGATTTTGGCCTTTTCGGAGGCTTCTTTGAGCCGTTGCATCGCCATGGGGTCTTTGGTGATGTCGATGCCTTGGTCCTTTTTGAATTCGGATACCAAGTGGTTGACGAGGACGTTGTCGAAGTCTTCGCCGCCGAGGAAGGTGTCGCCGTTGGTGGATTTCACTTCGAAGACGCCCTTTTGGATTTCGAGGATGGATATGTCGAAGGTGCCGCCGCCCAGGTCGTAGACGGCTATGCTGGAAATGGCAAAAAAAATCGTTAGGTGATGGTGGAGTGCTACGAGATAACTCGTAGTATTGGTAGCGATAACGAGTTTTTCTCGCGGTGGATTCGGGGTAGAGTAGATCCGGAGTGGATCCGGAGTAGATTTAAAGTAGAGTAGATTCAGAGGACATTCAGAAGTAGATTAGAATAGATCCGGAGTAGATTCGGAGTAGAGTAGATACATAGTAGGGTAGATACATAGTAAGGTAGATACAGAGTAGAATAGATTCAGAGGACATTCAGGAGTAGATTAGAGTAGATTAGAATAGATCCGGAGTATATTTAAAGTAGAGTAGATACAGAGTAGGGTAGATACAGAGTAGAATAGATTCAGAGGACATTCAGGAGTAGATTAGGGTAGATTAGAATAGATTCGGAGTAGATTTAGTGGACATTCGGAGGAGATTCAGAGCAGATTCAAAAGATATTTAGAGTACATTCGGAGTAGATTCAGTGCAGACTCAGAGGACGTTCGGAGGATATTCAGTCAGAATAGATTAACAACGGATCCAGAGTAGATTAGGAACAGATTCAGAGTAGATTGAGGAGTAGATTCAGAGTAGATTTAAAGTAGATTCAGGAGTAGATTAAGAGCAGATTCAGAGGAGATTCAGGAGTAGATTCAGAGTAGATTCAGAGTAGATTCAGTGGACATTCAAGAGTAGATCCGGAGTAGATTTAAAGTAGAGTAGATACAGAGTAGAATAAATTCAGAGGACATTCAGGAGTAGATTAGAGTAAATTAGAATAGATTCGGAGTAGATTTAGTGGACATTCGGAGGAGATTCAGAGCAGATTCAAAAGATATTTAGAGTACATTCGGAGTAGATTCAGTGCAGACTCAGAGGACGTTCGGAGGATATTCAGTCTACTCTTAAGAATAGATTGACATCGGATCCAGAGTAGATTCAGGGGTAGATTCAAGAGTAGATTCAGATCATATTAGAGTAGATTTAGAATATATTCAAATAGATTCAGAACAGATTAGAGTAGATTCAGTTGACATTCAAGAGTGGATTCGGAATAGATTCAGAGAACATTCGGAAGATTGGAAAACGAGAATTGGGGTTTAGTTTGACTGATTTTGGAGTGCTACGAGATAACTCGTAGTATTGGTAGCAATAACGAGTTTTCTCGCGGTAGATTCGGGGTAGAGTAGATCTGGAGTAGATTCGGAGAAGATTTAAAGTAGAGTAGATAGAGTAGACAGAGTAGAATAGATTCAGAGGACATTCAGGAGTAGATTCAGTGGACATTCGGAGGAGATTCAGAGCAGATTCAAAAGTTATTTAGAGCACATTCGGAGTAGATTCAGTGCCGAAACAGAGGACTTTCGGGGGACATTCAAGAGTAGATTCAGGAGTAGATTAAGAGCAGATTCAGGGGACATCCAGGAGTAGATTTAGAATAGATTCAAAGTAGATTCAGAACAGATTAGAATAGATTCAGTTGACATTCAAGAGTGGATTCGAAGTAGATTTAAAGTAGATTCAGAACAGATTAGAGTATACACCTACACTTTATCTTCGGTTTTATCCCGTTCCGTAAGGCAGGGAGTTATGGAGCGTTCTTAATAATTCTTGACAGTTTTTAATGATTCTAGAGCGTTCTAAATGGTTCCATAATCGTTTAGAGCCGTCTAAAACTAATAAGAACTACCTAATTTAGAATTGTCTACAACTAATTGAAATGATTTAGAACTATTTAGAATCATTTGGAACTCTTCAGAAACATATAAAACAGTCTATAACTAATTGAAAATATCCAAAATAATTTAGAAATGACCCATAATCATATGAACTGTCTAGAATTATTTAGAAACATTTAGAACTGTCCAAAAAAAATTCCGAACGCTCCAAAAACCATCCAGGACACCCCACGACCATCCAGATCGTTCCAGAACCATTTGAAGCTCTCCACAACCATTCAGAACTCTTCAGAATCATTTAGAACGCTCCAGAACCATCCAGAATGCTTCACAACCATTCACAAATGCTCCAGAAGCATCCACAATCATTCAGAACGCTTCACAACCATTCAGAACTTTCAAAAACCATTCAGATTACTCCACAACTATCCAGAACCCTGCACGATCATTCAGAACGCTCCAGAACCATCCAAATGGTTTTGCCACCATTCAGAACGCTCCTTTACCATTCACAACCATTCAGAACCATCTACAACCATCCAAAACCCTCCACGACCATTCAGAACTATCTACAACCATCCAGAACCCTCCACCACCATTCAGATCGCTCCACAACTATCCAGAACCCTGCACGATCATTCAGAACGCTCCAGAACCATCCAAATGGTTTCACCACCATTCAGAACGCTCCAGCACCATTCGCAACCATCCAGAACCCTTCGAAACGCCCCAAAACCATCCTCAACACTCCAAAAACCACCATCACACTGTGATACCACAACAAACAAATTCCACATTCATATTCTATACCAAAACCACCTACACTTTATCCTCGGTTTTATCCATCCCGTACGCCAGCGCAGCCGCCGTCGGCTGATTAATCAGCCTTAGAACCATTCAAAACTTTCTAAAACCATTCAGAACTATCCACAACTATCCAGAACCCTCCACGACCATTCAGATCGCTTCAAAAACCATTCATAACGCTCCAGAACCATCCAGATCGTTTCACCACCATTCAGAACGCTCCAGCACCATTCTCAACCATCCAGAATCATCCACGACCATTCAGATCGCTCCACGACTATCCAAAACCCCCCACGATCATTCAGAACTATCAACAACCATCCAGAACCTTCCACAACCATTAAGAACCCCCCACGATCATTCAGAACTATCCACAACCATCCAGAACCTTCCACAACCATTAAGAACCCTCCACGATCATTCAGAACTATCCACAACCATTAAGAACTCTCCACGATCATTCAGAACGCTTCAAAAACCATTCAGAACACTCCAGAACCATCCAGATCGTTTCACCACCATTTAGAACGCCCCAGCACCATTCACAACAATTCAAAACCCTCTACAACCACCCAGAACCCTCCACAACCATTCAGACCAGTCCACAACCATCCAGAACCCTCCACGATCATTCAGAACGCTTCAAAAACCATTCACAACGCTTCTCGAACCACCATCACACTGTGATATCACAACAAACAAATTCCACATTCATATTCTATACCAAAACCACCTACACTTTATCCTCGGTCTTATCCATCCCGTAGGCCAGAGCAGCCGCCGCCGGCTCATTAATCACCCTCAGAACCATTTAGAACTTTCTAAAACCATTCAGAACGCTCCAGAGGCATCCACAATCATTCAGAACTTCAGAAATCATTTACAACTCTGCAGGACCATTTAAAACGTTCCACGTCCATTCAGAATGCTCCAGAACCATCCAAATGGTTTCACCACCATTCAGAACGCTCCAGCACCATTCACAACCATCCAAAACACTCCACGGTTATTCAAAACGCTCCAGAGCCATTCGCAACCATTCAGAACACTCTACAGCCATCCAGAACCCTCCACGATCATTCAGAACGCTTCAAAAACCATTCACAACGCTTCTCGAACCACCATCACACTGTGATACCACAACAAACAAATTCCACATTCACATTCTATACCAAAACCACCTACACTTTATCCTCGGTCTTATCCATCCCGTACGCTAGAGCAGCCGCCGTCGGTTCGTTGATCACCCTCAGAACCATTCAGAACCCTCTACAACCATCCAGAAACCTCCACGACCATTCAGATCGCTCCACGATCATTCAGAACGCTTCAAAAACCATTCAGAACGCTCCAGAACCATCCAAATGGTTTCACCACCATTCAGAACGCTCCAGCACCATTCACAACCATCCAGAACCCTTCGAAACGCCCCAAAACCATTCACAACCCTCCCCAAACCACCATCACACTGTGATATCACAACAAACAAATTCCATATTCATATTCTATACCAAAACCACCTACACTTTATCCTCGGTTTTATCCATCCCGTAGGCTAGAGCAGCCGCCGCCGGCTCATTAATCACTCTCAGAACCATTCAAAACCCTCTACAACCATTCACTAAGCTCCAGAACCATCCACAACCAATCAGAATTCATCTAGAACCATTCAGGACGCTTAAGAGGCATCCACAATCATTCAGAATGCTCCACAACCATTCAGAACTTTCTAGAACCATCCAGAACCCTTCACAACCATCCAAAACACTCCACGGTTATTCAAAACGCTCCAGAGCCATTCACAACCATTCAGAACGTTCAAAAACCATTCAGAACTATCCACAACCATCCAGAACCCTCTACAACCATTCACAAAGCTCCACGACCACTCAGATTACTCCAGAACTATCCAGAACCCTTTACGATCATTCAGAACGCTTCAAAAACTATTCAGAACGCTCCAGAACCCTTCACAACCATCCAGATCCAGATCGCTCCATGATCATTCAGAACGCTTCAGAAACCATTCAGAACTGTCCACAGCCATTTGGAAATTTCTAGAACCATCCAGAACTCTCAACAAACATTCACAAAGCTCCAGAACCATTCACAACCATCCAAAACCCTCCACGGCCATTCAAAACTATCCACAACCATCCAGAATCTTCCACAACCATTAAGAACTCTCCACGATCATTCAGAACGCTTCAAAAACCATTCAGAACGCTCCAGAACCATCCAAATGGTTTCACCACCATTCAGAACGCTCCAGCACCATTCGCAACCATCCAGAACCCTTCAAAACGCCCCAAAACAATCCTCAACATTCCAAAACCACCATCACACTGTTTACCAAAACAAATTTCATATTCTATACCAAACCACCTACACTTTATCCTCGGTCTTATCCATCCCGTAGGCTAGAGCAGCCGCCGTCGGTTCGTTGATCACCCTCAGAACGTTCAAACCGGATATTTGACCGGCGTCTTTCGTCGCCTGTCGTTGGGAATCGTTGAAATACGCCGGAACGGTGATGACGGCATTTTTGACGTTCGTATTCAAATAGGCGTCGGCGGTTTCCTTCATTTTGGTCAATACGAAGGCGCCGATTTGGCTGGGCGAATACATTTTGCCGTCGCTACCTTGGATCCAGGCGTCGCCGTTCGACGCTCTCACGATCTTGTACGAAAGGGTTTTCCTGCGAGAATGGAAATAGAGATTATTAGGAATGGTGTTTTTAAAGTCATAAAAAGGTTTAAAAAACGATAGAAAAGGTTAGATCATATATGCAAGGGTTTTCCTGCGAGAATGGAAATGGAGATTATTAGGAATTGTGTTTTTAAAGTCTTAAAAGGGTTTTAAAAACGGTAGAAAAAAGGTGTTTTGAAGTTAGCATGCCTGCGATTTATGGAATTTAATCCGCAAACTACGAGATAACTCGTAGCGCGGCGTGCAAGGGAAGAACGCGATGACTACGAGTTATCTCGTAGTTAGCTTAGATCTTGTACGAAAGGGTTTTCCTGCGAGAATAGAAATGGAGATTATTAGGAATAGTGTTTTAAAGTCTTAAAACGGTTTAAAAAACGGTAAAAAAAAGATGTTTTGAAGTTAGCATGCCTGCAATTTATGGAATTTAACCCTCAAACTACGAGATAACTCGTAGCGCGGCGTCCAGTGGGAGAACGCGATGACTACGAGTTATCTCGTAGTTGGCTTAGATCTTGTACGAAAGGGTTTTCCTGCGAGAATAGAAATGGAGATTATTAGGAATAGTGTTTTAAAGTCTTAAAACGGTTTAAAAAACGGTAAAAAAAAAGATGTTTTGAAGTTAGCCTGCCTACAATTTATGGAATTTAATCCGCAAACTACGAGATAACTCGTAGCGCGGCGTGCAAGGGAAGAACGCGATGACTACGAGTTATCTCGTAGTTGGCTTAGATCTTGTACGAAAGGGTTTTCCTGCGAGAATAGAGATGGAGATTATTAGGAATTGTGTTTTTAAAGTCATAAAACGGTTTAAAAAACGGTAAAAAAAAGGTGTTTTGAAGTTAGCATGCCTGCAATTTATGGAATTTAATCCGCAAACTACGAGATAACTCGTAGCGAGGCGTCCAGGGGAAGAACGCGATGACTACGAGTTATCTCGTAGTTGGCTTAGATCTTGTACGAAAGGGTTTTCCTGCGGAATGGAAATAAGATTATTAGGAATTGTGTTTTAATGTTTTAAAAAGGTTTAAAAAACGGTAGAAAAAAGGTGTTTTGAAGTTAGCCTGCCTGCAATTTATGGAATTTAACCAGCAAACTACGAGATAACTCGTAGCGAGGCGTCCAGGGGAAGAACGCGATGACTACGAGTTATCTCGTAGTTGGCTTAGATCTTGTACGAAAGGGTTTACCTGCGGAATGGAAATAAGATTATTAGGAATTGTGTTTTAATGTTTTAAAAAGGTTTAAAAAACGGTAGAAAAAAGGTGTTTTGAAGTTAGCCTGCCTGCAATTTATGGAATTTAACCAGCAAACTACGAGATAACTCGTAGCGAGGCGTCCAGGGGAAGAACGCGATGACTACGAGTTATCTCGTAGTTGGCTTAGATCTTGTACGAAAGGGTTTTCCTGCGAGAATAGAAATGGAGATTATTAGGAATTGTTGAAAATAAAGAAATATTTATTATACAAAAATTACACCTCCCTGTATGTTTGCAAAAGTATAAACGAAACTGTATGGTTTCTTATTGTATACCGACCGAGTCGACATTTTTTCCATAAAAGAATTTATATAAAAAGTAGTATTAATTCTTTAGCCTTTGTTCTTTAATGTAGACGTGTCTTCCGAATACTTTGAAAGTGAATTTAAAATAAAATAAAAAATTTCGATTTAAAAGACTACTGTGTTTTAATCGGCCCTTCTGCGATAATGACAATTTTAAAATAAAAGGACAATAGGAATAGTGTTTTAGAGTCTTAAAACGGTTTAAAAAACGGTAGAAAAAAGGTGTTTTGAAGTTAGCCTGCCTGCGATTTATGGAATTTAAGTAATAGGAAATGCCTAAAGTTAGGACAACTCACTGGGCTTGCCTAAAACATTTAGGAAATACTTAACCATACTTTTTATGTGATTTCATGTGACTTAAGTCTTGACTGTCTTTACACTCTTTAGATGAAAATTTAAAATGGCAGGAGAGTTTTTAGAAACTGGTCGAAACTGATTTTTTTTTCGCCTTTTTCGATATATAAAAATACGGCATTACAAATATTAGAAAGAATTGAAGATTATTTTTAATTTGAAAGACAGGAAGTTTTTTGAGCTATTGACCGTACAAATGCATGTAAAGATCCATTTTGCTGGAGAAGAAGATGTAGAAATATTTTACAAATCGGAAAGGTTATTTTTCTAATAATGTACAGACTACATCTTCAGCAGATTTAAAAATAACAAACATAGTTTAAAGATGGCCCGGATCATCAACATCTCTTCTTTTCTCTCAACATATTCAATTTCGATCTCCGCTTTTTCGGTTTACACGTCAAAATTAGCCAATGCTACCAATAAAATTCAAAAAATTGTCAAAATCAAATTTTTACCTAGGTATTTCTTAGTAAGAGATTTCTAATGTTGGTGAAACTCGATTTAGGTAAGTACTCAATTTAAGTAATTCCTACCTTAGGAATTACTTAGTTAGGAAGTACCTAACAACATGTTGGTGAAATTGGGCATAAAAGTCTTAAAACGGTTTAAAAAAGGTAAAAAAAAGGTGTTTTGAAGTTAGCCTGCCTGCGATTTATGGAATTTAACCCTCAAACTACGAGATAACTCGTAGCGAGGCGTCCAGGGGAAGAACGCGATGACTACGAGTTATCTCGTAGTTGGCTTAGATCTTGTATGAAAGGGTTTTCCTGCGAGAATAGAAATGAGATTATTAGGAATGGTGTTTTTAAAGTCTTATAACGGTTTAAAAAACGGTAAAAAAAAGGTGTTTTGAAGTTAGCCTGCCTGCGATTTATGGAATTTAACCCGCAAACTACGAGATAACTCGTAGCGAGGCGTCCAGGGGAAGAACGAGATGACTACGAGTTATCTCGTAGTTGGTTTAGATCTTGTACGAAAGGGTTTACCTGCGGAATGGAAATAAGTTTATTAGGAATTGTGTTTTAATGTTTTAAAAAGGTTTAAAAAACGGTAGAAAAAAGGTGTTTTGAAGTTAGCCTGCCTGCAATTTATGGAATTTAACCAGCAAACTACGAGATAACTCGTAGCGAGGCGTCCAGGGAAAGAACGCGATGACTACGAGTTATCTCGTAGTTGGCTTAGATCTTGTACGAAAGGGTTTTCCTGCGAGAATAGAGATGGAGATTATTAGGAATAGTGTTTTAAAGTCTTAAAAAGGTTTAAAAAACGGTAAAAAAAAGGTGTTTTGAAGTTAGCCTGCCTGCGATTTATGGAATTTAATTCGCAAACTACGAGATAACTCGTAGTCATCGCGTTCTTCCCCTGGACGCCTCGCTACGAGTTATCTCGTAGTTGGCTTAGATCTTGTACGAAAGGGTTTTCCTGCGAGAATAGAAATGGAGATTATTAGGAATAGTGTTTTAAAGTCTTAAAACGGTTTAAAAAACGGTAAAAAAAAGATGTTTTGAAGTTAGCATGCCTGCAATTTATGGAATTTAACCAGCAAACTACGAGATAACTCGTAGCGAGGCGTCCAGGGAAAGAACGCGATGACTACGAGTTATCTCGTAGTTGGCTTAGATCTTGTACGAAAGGGTTTTCCTGCGAGAATAGAAATGAGATTATTAGGAATAGTGTTTTAAAGTCTTAAAACGGTTTAAAAACGGTAGAAAAAAAGGTGTTTTGAAGTTAGCCTGCCTGCGATTTATGGAATTTAATCCGCAAACTACGAGATAACTCGTAGCGAGGCGTCCAGGGGAAGAACGCGATGACTACGAGTTATCTCGTAGTTGGTTTAGATCTTGTACGAAAGGATTTTCCTGCGAGAATAGAAATGAGATTATTAGGAATAGTGTTTTTAAAGTCTTAAAACGGTTTAAAAAACGGTAAAAAAAAAAGGTGTTTTGAAGTTAGCCTGCCTGCAATTTATGGAATTTAACCCGCAAACTACGAGATAACTCGTAGCGAGGCGTCCTGGGGAAGAACGCGATGACTACGAGTTATCTCGTAGTTGGTTTAGATCTTGTACGAAAGGGTTTTCCTGCGAGAATAGAAATGGAGATTATTAGGAATAGTGTTTTAAAGTCTTAAAACGGTTTAAAAAACGGTAAAAAAAAGATGTTTTGAAGTTAGCATGCCTGCAATTTATGGAATTTAACCAGCAAACTACGAGATTACTCGTAGCGAGGCGTCCAGGGAAAGAACGCGATGACTACGAGTTATCTCGTAGTTGGCTTAGATCTTGTACGAAAGGGTTTTCCTGCGAGAATAGAAATGAGATTATTAGGAATAGTATTTTTAAAGTCTTAAAACGGTTTAAAAAACGGTAAAAAAAAAAGGTGTTTTGAAGTTAGCCTGCCTACAATTTATGGAATTTAACCCGCAAACTACGAGATAACTCGTAGCGAGGCGTCCTGGGGAAGAACGCGATGACTACGAGTTATCTCGTAGTTGGCTTAGATCTTGTACGAAAGGGTTTTCCTGCGAGAATAGAAATGAGATTATTAGGAATAGTGTTTTAAAGTCTTAAAACTGTTTAAAAACGGTAGAAAAAAAGATGTTTTGAAGTTAGCCTGCCTGCGATTTATGGAATTTAATCCGCAAACTACGAGATAACTCGTAGCGAGGCGTCCAGGGAAAGAACGCGATGACTACGAGTTATCTCGTAGTTGGCTTAGATCTTGTACGAAAGGGTTTTCCTGCGAGAATAGAAATGTGATTATTAGGAATAGTGTTTTAAAGTCTTAAAACTGTTTAAAAACGGTAGAAAAAAAGATGTTTTGAAGTTAGCCTGCCTGCGATTTATGGAATTTAATCCGCAAACTACGAGATAACTCGTAGCGAGGCGTCCAGGGAAAGAACGCGATGACTACGAGTTATCTCGTAGTTGGCTTAGATCTTGTACGAAAGGGTTTTCCTGCGAGAATAGAAATGTGATTATTAGGAATAGTGTTTTAAAGTCTTAAAACTGTTTAAAAACGGTAGAAAAAAAGATGTTTTGAAGTTAGCCTGCCTGCGATTTATGGAATTTAATCCGCAAACTACGAGATAACTCGTAGCGAGGCGTCCAGGGAAAGAACGCGATGACTACGAGTTATCTCGTAGTTGGCTTAGATCTTGTACGAAAGGGTTTTCCTGCGAGAATAGAAATGTGATTATTAGGAATAGTGTTTTAAAGTCTTAAAACTGTTTAAAAACGGTAGAAAAAAAGATGTTTTGAAGTTAGCCTGCCTGCGATTTATGGAATTTAATCCGCAAACTACGAGATTACTCGTAGCGAGGCGTCCAGGGAAAGAACGCGATGACTACGAGTTATCTCGTAGTTGGCTTAGATCTTGTACGAAAGGGTTTTCCTGCGAGAATAGAAATGGAGATTATTAGGAATAGTGTTTTAAAGTCTTAAAACGGTTTAAAAAACGGTAAAAAAAAGATGTTTTGAAGTTAGCATGCCTGCAATTTATGGAATTTAACCAGCAAACTACGAGATTACTCGTAGCGAGGCGTCCAGGGAAAGAACGCGATGACTACGAGTTATCTCGTAGTTGGCTTAGATCTTGTACGAAAGGGTTTTCCTGCGAGAATAGAAATGAGATTATTAGGAATAGTATTTTTAAAGTCTTAAAACGGTTTAAAAAACGGTAAAAAAAAAAGGTGTTTTGAAGTTAGCCTGCCTACAATTTATGGAATTTAACCCGCAAACTACGAGATAACTCGTAGCGAGGCGTCCTGGGGAAGAACGCGATGACTACGAGTTATCTCGTAGTTGGCTTAGATCTTGTACGAAAGGGTTTTCCTGCGAGAATAGAAATGTGATTATTAGGAATAGTGTTTTAAAGTCTTAAAACTGTTTAAAAACGGTAGAAAAAAAGATGTTTTGAAGTTAGCCTGCCTGCGATTTATGGAATTTAATCCGCAAACTACGAGATAACTCGTAGCGAGGCGTCCAGGGAAAGAACGCGATGACTACGAGTTATCTCGTAGTTGGCTTAGATCTTGTACGAAAGGGTTTTCCTGCGAGAATAGAAATGTGATTATTAGGAATAGTGTTTTAAAGTCTTAAAACTGTTTAAAAACGGTAGAAAAAAAGATGTTTTGAAGTTAGCCTGCCTGCGATTTATGGAATTTAATCCGCAAACTACGAGATTACTCGTAGCGAGGCGTCCAGGGAAAGAACGCGATGACTACGAGTTATCTCGTAGTTGGCTTAGATCTTGTACGAAAGGGTTTTCCTGCGAGAATAGAAATGGAGATTATTAGGAATAGTGTTTTAAAGTCTTAAAACGGTTTAAAAAACGGTAAAAAAAAGATGTTTTGAAGTTAGCATGCCTGCAATTTATGGAATTTAACCAGCAAACTACGAGATTACTCGTAGCGAGGCGTCCAGGGAAAGAACGCGATGACTACGAGTTATCTCGTAGTTGGTTTAGATCTTGTATGAAAGGGTTTTCCTGCAAGAATAGAAATGGAGATTATTAGGAATAGTGTTTTAATGTTTTAAAACGATTTAAAAAACGGTAAAAAAAAAAGGTGTTTTGAAGTTAGCATGCCTGCAATTTATGGAATTTAACCCGCAAACTACGAGATAACTCGTAGCGAGGCGTCCTGGGGAAGAACGCGATGACTACGAGTTATCTCGTAGTTGGCTTAGATCTTGTGTGAAAGGGTTTTCCTGCGAGAATGGAAATAAGATTATTAGGAATAGTGTTTTAAAGTCTTAAAACGGTTTAAAAAACGGTAGAAAAAAGGTGTTTTGAAGTTAGCCTGCCTGCGATTTATGGAATTTAACCCGCAAACTACGAGATAACTCGTAGCGAGGCGTCCAGGGAAAGAACCCGATGATTACGAGTTATCTCGTAGTTGGCTTAGATCTTGTACGAAAGGGTTTTCCTGCGAGAATAGAAATGGAGATTATTAGGAATAGTGTTTTAAAGTCTTAAAACGGTTTAAAAAACGGTAAAAAAAAGGTGTTTTGAAGTTAGCCTGTCTGCAATTTATGGAATTTAATCCGCAAACTACGAGATAACTCGTAGCGAGGCGTCCAGGGGAAGAACGCGATGACTACGAGTTATCTCGTAGTTGGTTTAGATCTTGTATGAAAGGGTTTTCCTGCGAGAATGGAAATAAGATTATTAGGAATAGTGTTTTAAAGTCTTAAAACGGTTTAAAAAACGGTAAAAAAAAGATGTTTTGAAGTTAGCCTGTCTGCGATTTATGGAATTTAACCCGCAAACTACGAGATAACTCGTAGCGCGGCGTCCAGGGGAAGAACGAGATGACTACGAGTTATCTCGTAGTTGGTTTAGATCTTGTACGAAAGGGTTTTCCTGCGAGAATGGAAATAAGATTATTAGGAATAGTGTTTTAATGTTTTAAAATAGTTTAAAAACGGTAAAAAAAAGGTGTTTTGAAGTTAGCATGCCTGCAATTTATGGAATTTAATCCGCAAACTACGAGATAACTCGTAGCGAGGCGTCCATGGAAAGAACGCGATGACTACGAGTTATCTCGTAGTTGGCTTAGATCTTGTACGAAAGGGTTTTCCTGCGAGAATAGAAATGGAGATTATTAGGAATAGTGTTTTAAAGTCTTAAAACGGTTTAAAAACGGTGTTTTAAAGCTTTAAAGTTTGCCTGCAATTTATAAAAATTAACAACTACGAGATAACTCGTAGCGCGGCGTCCCGGGCAAGAACGCAAGTTGAATACGAGTTATCTCGTAGCTGGCTTAGATCTTGTACTAGAGGATTTTCCTGTGAGAAATGATACGAGATATTAGAAACGGTGCTTTAAATCCGCCAACTACGAGATAATTCGTAGTGATGATGGCGTTCCTGTCCGGGACCCCGCGCTACGAGTTATCTCGTATTAAAATCATATGATCCGCAAAATCGATTAGAAATTAAAATACTAATTAACTAGTCTTCCTGCGATTTATAAAAATAACAACTACGAGATAACTCGTAGTACGGCGTCCTAGAAAAGAACGCAAGCGCATTGCATCATACGATATCAATACGAGATAACTCGTAGTCGGAGAGTCCCAGAAAAGATCGCGATCTACGAGTTATCTCGTATTAAAATCATATGACCTACAAAATCGATTCGCAAGTATTTAGAATACTATTAAACTCGTCTTCCTGCAATTTGTAAAACTAACCCGCCAACTACGAGATAACTCGTAGCGCGCCGTCCTAGAAACGAACGCCATCTACGAGTTATCTCGTATTAATCTCGTGCGATTCAACGAACTCGGCTTCTTAGACGGGAATTTCGAATATTGTAGTGGCAGTCAACGTGTTAAATTTCAATTTCATATTCCAATACAGTATTGGACAAATGTTTGCGAATAGTGGGGGCTATACGAGGGTAGAGCGAAAAGTTCTCGGCCTGAATCGTTTTGAACTGTCTAGAACCATCCAGGACGTTTCAAAAGAATTTAAAACTGTCCAAAATAATTTATAATGTCCATAGTCATTTAGAACGTTTTAGAATCATTTTTGGAAAATTTTTGTACATTTTTTGTTCAATTTGTCAAACATCAGTTTTGTTAATTTTTACCCAATTTTTCACCATTTTTTACGACAGTTTTTGCCAAATTTCGTGCATTTTTTACCAAATTTTTGAGCTCTTTTTATCTTAATTTTTGAGCATTGTTACCACACTTTCAACCATTTTTAAGGCCATTTATTTCAAATTTCGCACATTTTTTATAAGATTTTTGCGCTTTCTAGACATTTAGGCTTTCTAGAACCATTTAGAACTGTCTAAAACGATCTATAACGCTCCAGAATCATTTAGAAATCTACAAGAACATTGTAGAAAGTTCCAGAATCATTTAGAAATCATCTACAACCATTTAGAAGGTTCCATATTTACTTAGAAATACCTAAAACCATTTAGAACAATCTAAAATCGTTTAGAGCTCATCTAGAATCATTTAGAACTCATCTAGAATCATTTAGAACTCATCTAGAACCATTTAGAAGGCACCAGAATGATTTACAAACGTCTAAAACAATCTAGAATGCCCCAAAATCAATTAGAACCGTTTTAGAACGCTCCAGAACCGTTCAGAACCGTCCAGAACAATCCAAAACACCCCTGAACCATTTAGAGAACCCTCCCGAAACTAAATCATTCGCTCATTCGAAAATCGCGTTCATTCATCATCAGATCGAGAGAACTTTTCACAATACTTTCCGTAAAATATATCCATAAATTTACCCCCTTTACAGGTCCTTTTAAAACTCCTATTTATACAGTACCCGGATAGCGAAAGGCTATACACGATAAACGAAATCCAGCAGTCGCTCGATTCGTAAATTAATATCAAACAATGGCCTCTTTCCACCACTCTTATCAGCCATCCGCTATCCGTTGTACTTCGTACGAGCCGCTAAGCAGCCCCCCCTTACATGTCTTTCTTCACTTCCTCGTCCTCGAATCGCCTCCCGATCAACCGTTTCGTGGCGTAGAACGTGTTCGCCGAGTTCGTAACGGCCTGTCGCTTGGCCGGCATGCCGACTAGCCGTTCGCCGTCTTTGGAAAAGGCCACCACCGACGGAGTGGTCCTCGAACCTTCGGCGTTTTCGATCACTTTGGCCTGTTTACCCTCCATTACGGCTACGCAGGAATTCGTGGTGCCCAAATCGATGCCGATCACGGCCCCCTTGACTCCTTCGGATCTACGAATTGACGCGAATTAAAGCGATTCAATCGAGTTTTAAGGTTACTAGATTCAAAAGCGTGTACTTACTTGTAGCGCAAATGGCCGTCATATTTGGGGCCCGAACAGTACAAGGACGATCTCTACAAAACGAGAAATACTTAGTGCTAATACAGTGCGATTGAATTACGTAATAGGCGTGAAGGAAAATGGGGTAAACGTTGAAAGTGCGAAGGGGTGAATTTGGACTAACCTTGGCGAGAAAATGGCTGAAATTCCTCGTTGCGCTTTCGTGGAAATTGGATTTGGAACAGTCCAGGGCTGTTCTGCTGATAGCGCGAGCGGCCGATAACATTTTTCTCGTTTGAAATTCGCTTCGAGCACTTCTATTCTTCACGTGCGACTTTACGCAAAATGGCCGGATGAAAAAACCGGCTGTCAGTTGTCAAAAGTTTTGACGTATCGATTCGACCAATCGGGAGCGGGCTGAGAAACGTTCTAGAAACGTCCGATCGAGCGGGAGATTCGAATTTACTCGAATATTACCGTTTAACCGCGATTTGATTCAAAGCGTTATGTTAGCGTAGGATAATTCGTTACGATTACGATAATAAATGATTCTTATTCTTACGTAAAAACTAGGTGTCAGATGTCAAAAGTATCTACGAATCGAACGCGTTCGACCAATCAGGAGCGGCCTGTGAACGTTCTAGAAACGTCCGATCGAGTAGAAGATTCAAATTTACTCGAATATTACCATTTAATTGTAATTTGATTCAAAGCGTAATGTTAGCGTACAATAATTCGTCAAAATTACAATAAATAAATGTTTCTACATAAAAAACTGCTGTCAAATGTCAAAAAGTTTTGATGTATCGAACTCGTTCGACCAATCGGGAGCGGCTTGAGAAACATTCTAGAAACGTCCGATCGAGCGGGAGATTCGAATTTACCCGAAGCGATTTCACAATATTACGATAACCGTTTAATTGCGACATGAACAAAGTTCAAGACATTCAACGCGTAATTTTAGTGCACACGGATTCGTTACATTACAAAAAACCAAGTAAACACCAAGGCAACATAACCTTACAAGTTTCTATTTTGACTTTTGACCAGTGTGAAGTTTGCGATAAGTAGGTTAAGTGTTAAGTTTTGAGTTTTGTTTTTCGAAAATGCTCGCCAATAAACAGAATTCCTGGGAGGAAACCTATAAATTAATCAGATCGAAAAAAACAGAAGCTTTAGAAGCTATAGACGCGGCTATAAAGCTAGAAGAATGCGAAAAACCCGACGAAGTAAGTACTATTAGACGAATACAAAATTTATTCGAAAAAAAAATATGTACTTGGTATTTCATACTGTAATCTTTAGTTCGGGACGGTTCTAATTGATTCTGGAGCGTTCGGAATGGTTCTAAATAGTTCTAAATGATTCTGAAGCGTTCTGGATGGTTTTAGACAGTTCTAAACGGTTCTGGAGCGTTCTAAATGGTTCTGAAGTGTTCTAGATTTCTCTAGACATTTCTAAATTGTTTTAGACAGTTCTAAATGATTCTGGAGCGTTCTAAATGATTCTGGAGCGTTCTAAATGATTCTGAAGCGTTCTTGCTAGTTTTAGATGGTTCTAAACGGTTCTGGAGCGTTCTAAATGGTTCTGAAGTGTTCTAGATTGCTCTAGACATTTCTAAATTGTTTTAGACAGTTCTAAATGATTCTGGAGCATTCTAAATAATTCTCGGGCGTTTTAAATGGTTCTAGACTGTTCTAAATAATTCTGAAGCATTCTAAATGACTAAGGATCAATCTAAAATGATTTAAGAGCGTTCTGAATGGTTCTGGATGAGTTCGAAATGATTCTGGACAGTTCTAGTTTATCCTGGATCGTTCCTATTGATCTGGAACCTGTTCTTAATGATTTTGAAAAGTTATAAATGATTCTAGCATCGATTTGAACCAATTTGGGTGCTCTTAGTGGGTTCTAAAATGGTTCTAAATGATCCTGGACAGTTCTAGTTTATCTTGGACCGTTCCAAATAGTCTTGAACCTGTTCTAAATGATTCTGAACCGTTCTAAATGATTTTAGCTTCGTTTTGAACTGTTTTTGATGCTCCTAGTCGATTTTAAAATGGTTTTAAAAGTTTTAAAAAACCTGGGCAGTTCTAGAGCGATCTAAATGGTTCTGAAGCGTTCTAAATGGTTCTAAATGGTTGGAGGCAGTTTAAATGTCTAAAAAGCGCAAAAATGGCTAAAAATAGTAAAAAATGGCTATAACAAAGGTGAAAGGTGGGATAAAAATGCTCAAAAATTAAACAAAAAATTGAAAAAAAATGAACACAAAATGTGTAAACATTGGTCTAAAATTTTAGAAAAATGGGACAAAAAAATGGTGAAAAATTTGCTAAGAATTTGAGAAACATTGTGCAAAAATGCTCAAAAATTATTAAATAATTCCTTAAAAAAAGTGCAAAAATTGCTCAAAAATTGACATAAAAAAAACGCTCAAAATTTCATTAAAAAGCGCAAAAATCTGGTAAAAAATGCGCGAAATTTGGCAAAAATTGCGTTAAAAATGGTGGAAAATTGGGTAACAATGTTCAAAAATTAGAAAAAATTGAAACAAAAAAATGTGCATTAATTTGGTAAAAAATTGCGATAAAAATGCTCAAGAATTGAGACAAAAAAATGCTCAAAATTACATTAAAAAGCGCAAAAATCTGGTAAAAAATGCGCGAAATTTGGCAAAAAAATTGCGTTAAAAATGGTGGAAAATAACAATGTTCAAAAATTAGAAAAAAATTAGGAAAAATTGTAACAAAAAATGTGCAAAAATTTGTCATCAAAATTTGAGCTCTAAATGGTTTTAAAGCGGTCTAAATGACTATGGAGCGCTCTAAGTGAATCTGGACCGTTTTAAATGGTTCTAGACGAGTTCTAAATGATTCTTGACAGTTCTAAATGGTTTTAGACAGTTCGAAGTGAATCAGGAACCTTCTAAATGATTCTAGACGAGTTCTTAATGATTCTAGACAAGTTCTAAATGATTCTAGACAGTTCTAAATGGTTTTAGACAGTTCTAAGTGAATCAGGAACCTTCTAAATGATTCTAGACGAGTTTTTAATGATTCTAGACAGTTCTAAATGGTTTTAGACAGTTCGAAGTGAATCAGGAACCTTCTAAATGATTCTAGACGAGTTTTTAATGATTCTAGACAGTTCTAAATGGTTTTAGACAGTTCTAAGTGAATCAGGAACCTTCTAATTGATTCTAGACGAGTTCTAAATGATTCTAGACAGTTCTAAATGGTTTTAGACAGTTCTAAGTGAATCAGAAACCTTCTAATTGATTCTAAACAGTTCTAAATGGTTTTAGACAGTTCGAAGTGAATCAGGAACCTTCTAAATGATTCTAGACGAGTTCTGAATGATTCTAGACGAGTTTTAAATGATTCTAGACTGTTCTAAATGGTTTTAGACAGTTCTAAGTGAATCAGGAACCTTCTAAATGATTCTAGACGAGTTTTTAATGATTCTAGACAGTTCTAAATGGTTTTAGACAGTTCTAAGTGAATCAGAAACCTTCTAATTGATTCTAAACAGTTCTAAATGGTTTTAGACAGTTCGAAGTGAATCAGGAACCTTCTAAATGATTCTAGACGAGTTCTAAATGATTCTAGACAGTTCTAAATGGTTTTAGACAGTTCTAAGTGAATCAGAAACCTTCTAATTGATTCTAGACAGTTCTAAATTGTTTTAGACAGTTCTAAATGATTCTGGAGCGTTCTAAATGATTCTGGAGCGTTCTAAATGATTCTGAAGCGTTCTTGCTAGTTTTAGATGGTTCTAAACGGTTCTGGAGCGTTCTAAATGGTTCTGAAGTGTTCTAGATTGCTCTAGACATTTCTAAATTGTTTTAGACAGTTCTAAATGATTCTGGAGCATTCTAAATAATTCTCGGGCGTTTTAAATGGTTCTAGACTGTTCTAAATAATTCTGAAGCATTCTAAATGACTAAGGATCAATCTAAAATGATTTAAGAGCGTTCTGAATGGTTCTGGATGAGTTCGAAATGATTCTGGACAGTTCTAGTTTATCCTGGATCGTTCCTATTGATCTGGAACCTGTTCTTAATGATTTTGAAAAGTTATAAATGATTCTAGCATCGATTTGAACCAATTTGGGTGCTCTTAGTGGGTTCTAAAATGGTTCTAAATGATCCTGGACAGTTCTAGTTTATCTTGGACCGTTCCAAATAGTCTTGAACCTGTTCTAAATGATTCTGAACCGTTCTAAATGATTTTAGCTTCGTTTTGAACTGTTTTTGATGCTCCTAGTCGATTTTAAAATGGTTTTAAAAGTTTTAAAAAACCTGGGCAGTTCTAGAGCGATCTAAATGGTTCTGAAGCGTTCTAAATGGTTCTAAATGGTTGGAGGCAGTTTAAATGTCTAAAAAGCGCAAAAATGGCTAAAAATAGTAAAAAATGGCTATAACAAAGGTGAAAGGTGGGATAAAAATGCTCAAAAATTAAACAAAAAATTGAAAAAAAATGAACACAAAATGTGTAAACATTGGTCTAAAATTTTAGAAAAATGGGACAAAAAAATGGTGAAAAATTTGCTAAGAATTTGAGAAACATTGTGCAAAAATGCTCAAAAATTATTAAATAATTCCTTAAAAAAAGTGCAAAAATTGCTCAAAAATTGACATAAAAAAACGCTCAAAATTTCATTAAAAAGCGCAAAAATCTGGTAAAAAATGCGCGAAATTTGGCAAAAACTGGCGTTAAAAATGGTGGAAAATTGGGTAACAATGTTCAAAAATTAGAAAAAATTGAAACAAAAAATGTGCATTAATTTGGCAAAAAATTGTGATAAAAATGCTCAAGAATTGAGACAAAAAAATGCCCAATGTACATTAAAAAGCGCAAAAATCTGGTAAAAAATGCGCGAAATTTGGCAAAAAAATTGCGTTCAAAATGGTGGAAAATAACAATGTTCAAAAATTAGAAAAAAATTAGGAAAAATTGTAACAAAAAATGTGCAAAAATTTGTCATCAAAATTGAGCTCTAAATGGTTTTAAAGCGGTCTAAATGACTATGGAGCGCTCTAAGTGAATGTGGACCGTTTTAAATGGTTCTAGACGAGTTCTAAAAGATTCTTGACAGTTCTAAATGGTTTTAGACAGTTCGATGTGAATCAGGAACCTTCTAAATGATTCTAGACGAGTTCTAAATGATTCTAGACTATTCTAAATGGTTTTAGACAGTTCTAAGTGAATGAGGAACCTTCTAAATGATTCTAGACAAGTTCTAAACGATTCTAGACTATTCTAAATGGTTTTAGACAGTTCGATGTGAATCAGGAACTTTCTAAATGATTCTAGAC